CACAAACCCCCAATTGCACACCCCCACTGCACGAACCCCCAATTGCACATCCCAACCCCCATTGCATGGGCCCATAAAGTGGGGGGAAACCTGGCCTGGTCCCAAACAGCTCATTTTTTAATATCAATGATATTATTTTTAAACAGGTGGAGTCGTGCTGAGATCATGTTTAAGTTTGGTGAACTTCAATTGAGGTAATGCCTTCCCTTAAAACAGGGCCGCAAGACCCCCCCGGCCAAAAAAACCCCATCCCTCTTCACTTATCTGGCAATAATGAGCAGCACTTCAAAGGTACGAGACCCTCCCTCCGAGGGGAAAAGAAAAAGAAATCTGAAAAAGGATGAGAGGAAAGAGAGACGGAGAGCTGGGAGTTAAAAAGCATTTGTATGTAACTGCTGATCGAAGTAGAGATGGTGAAAAGGGACTCCGGGGTAGTGGTTAGACTCTGAGAGCAAAAACTGGGCTTAATCCCTTGCTCTGACACCTGCTTATAGTGAAAGTGGACAAATCTAACATTGCTTTAACCTCGTTTGCACCAGAAACACACAATTGCTGCAGATCAGCTCTAGTCAGTACAGCTACGCTGGAGCTACGTGTGGCTGGACTGCAAACGGTGGCAGGAGAAAAAACACCTTAAACACCATTTCAGAAACCATAGCTAAAATTTACACATGGGATGCCCAACACAAATATTAAAATGCAACCTCACAGTCTCATACCTTGGTTAACAAGGCTCCGTGTACATTGGCCTAAGTTTCCTTGCAGGGGCTCTGTAGTTCGCAGCACTCGGGTGCAGCAAACTGAAAATCCTGTGGTAATTTAATTTAAATAGGGAAAAAAAAAAAACCCCAGACTTTCATTAGCTAAATATGAAAATGATGCAACTGGTATGGTATCTTTCATATTACTTCTATTATAGTCACTGCCTGTGACAGTGGTAGGGGCCATTAAATAAAGGGATTTTCATGTGTGTTGATTATTTCAGGCTGAAGTGAAACCCTTGAGAATACTACCAGTATTTAAAAAAAAAAAGAAATACAAGCTGAAATTCTGTAAAAGCTGGTGGGTGTTGGGGGGGTGTCTCGAGTAGCAGCATTGCAGAGCACACTGGGTTCAGGTTCTCTCCAGGTCTATTCAGCATACAACCTCATTCATCATTGCAGTCCCTTTTCAGTCTGGCTGCGTAGGACTAAGTGGAATCTCAGTGTAACAAGAGAACAAATACTCCCACCAACATTTTCCACCCTGAGGACAGCATATAGGAATAATCAAAAGATTGGGAATGACACTGAACGTGCTCAATTTTATATGAATAATTTGCCTGTGGAAGGGCCTGACTGGCATCCCTAAAGAGTAAAGCCATATAGCTAACCACAAAAAAGAAGCAAAATTAACCGAAAGAGGTCAGTCCCCATACTGCCCCACCTGCATGCTTCAAGCTTGATCTGGAGGAACACATACTTACTCCTCTAAGATATTCAGGGCGCGTCTACATGAGACGCTTCGAGCACAGTAGACAAATTCTACTGCGCGTTAGCGCAGCGGGCAAAACCCGTGCTAATACGCTAATGAGCAGTAGATTTCATCTGCTGCACATTAACATCACAAAAAGACTCTCTGCACTACTGTGCAGTAGTGCCGATGACGGTGCATTAAATTACTGGTCATTATAGATACTAAAACATAATGCATCATAATTACGGCACATTAATGGACATATAGATGTGCCCACAGACATTAAAAACAAGTGCCCAAATATTTAAAGTTGTAAATGGGCATCCTTGAGGAGGTCTTTTGGAAATAACTGACTTTGGTCTTAAAGAGAAGTTACTGGATTTAAAATGTAGCATAAAAGCGTCTTAGTATCAGAACTGATCCTGAAAAGTTAAAGAAAGTGTACAGGAGACATTACTAATATAAGCCAATCCATTCTGCTCTCCCACTCGTTTCTTCTGCCTTCCCCCTTTGCTTTAGCCCTGTGAAAAGCCCATTATTAGGTGGTCAAATTGTGACATCAAAGACAAATTAATCAATTATTATCCTCACCCCTTTGTCTATATTCTCCACTTACACTGTATATTTGGAACTAAAGAGACAACTCCTCCACTATTCTGCTGTTTCTTGCACTCCTTCCAAGTCACTGTCATACTACAGTCCTATCAGGTAAAATACCAGAATAATTAAATTTTACTGTACATTAAATTACTGAATTTCTGATGCAGATTTTTTCCACGCGTATCAACAGAAGCACAAGATGCATATTACCTCGCTCATCCAAATCTCATCAAAACCAAAGCTGGGAGAAAACAACATTCTTGGTGCTATCTGGTGGCAAGGGTTGTGCTACACCTATTGAACGCACCTCTTTCCATCTCATTCAGAGAACAGCAACTCAAGCTGACTTATTTTATCACTAGTGAGCGGGAGAAAAAAAGCGAGTCCGTTTCTCGTCCACAGCATATTTGTACTTCTCAAGCTCTTAAGACTTGCATTATACTGTCCCCCTTACTTGATCAAAGAACTCTAGGGTGCATTACTTTATTGGTAATTTCAGAAAACTGGCTCGATATCTGTAACTAATCATGGACTAAACTTTCTGTATTCCCAACTATGCCGGTTGCCTGAGGCTAGAAGTTGCTACCTTGTTACTGATGATAAGTTATGGGACTTAATTGGCAGTCTCACTCACTCCGTAGCAAAGGACTTACTTCTATATAGCTTAAAAAATGGGCGACTGACTCATGATTTGCTGTTCTGCCATCTACGGTTTTACTATGAACGGTTCATTGTTGGGACTGTGACATCAGAGACCGAAGAGCCAATCATACAGTACTTCATAATGTATTTGCATACTGCAGCCCTATTGGTTTATGTGGCTTAGTTATTGCATCTTTTACATTACAAACCAAAGCTCCAGTTATTCAACTGCTAGCACACCGGCTGACTTGCACATATACAAAGCCAAACGGGCTCTGCCTCGGCATAACAGGCTTCCTCCACCTGACCCTGGTTCATTAAGATACAATTTACATACCGCCTTCTAATTAAAGGATTAATTATACAAATATGTCATAATCATGTAATGCCCATGCTAGCAGGGTTTGTTGCAGGACAAACCTGAGGCCTCGATGCTCCAGAAGTCAGCATTTGTGAATAGTTTTATTTTAATAAAATACTGTAGCTAAGATAATATTCGAGGCCTCTATTTCGAGTGTCCCGTAAACCAGGAATAGTGGGGGTTATCAGTGCCTTTACTATATGCCGTAACAACAGACAATGTTAGGAATTTTTGTCTGGCCAAACAGCCAAGAATATTCTTCTTTAATTCAGAAATTAAAACACATAGATCTACAGTGAGTAATACAATCCTGGACCTTCTCTTGCATTTGAATTTACATGGCCAAAACTTTATACCTCTTCTGAGGCCTATTGATTTCAAGAGGACTGGGACCTTTGTTTTTGTAACAGTTTGAGGCTTGCCAAAGCAACCAGCAAATTTCAACTGTTGGGCCATATCTTTTACTATAGGTCCACTGAGTTGATGGAGTATAGATAAATGGATCCCCCAGTTCAGGAAAACCGCAAAAGAAGAGCCATTTAAAAAAGAAAGAAAGAGCTTCCATGATTTGTACTGTTTTACATTTTAGCTCCCATTACTAAATGTGTCGGTCCTTAATGTATTTATCCTCCCAACAACTGTGCGAGGCAGGGAAGCAGTACCATCCGCAACTTGCAGAGAGGGAAATAAAGGAAGAAACTCGCCCAAGATAACTCAGGATGATAAATGGAGGAACAGAATTTTTGTCTTTCAAATAGTCTTCAAGCACCCAAAACCAGGTGAGATTGTGGTTCCCTCCCCCCAAATATCTGTACCTGTGAATAGTCCTCTTGAACTCACTGAGAAATTCATTGTTCATATGGGTAAAGTTTTATGGGTAAGCATGCTTAAGTGTTTGCAGGAGAAGGTTCTGTATTTATGAACTGTTGATTCATAAATACATCTCAAGATCCAGAAATTAAGTTATAACACTTGCCAAGTTACCCTGGAGAGAACATTGGGTATAAATCATCAATACAGAGTGTATTACAAAGCAACATATCTGCAAGACAAAGGCATTTTAATTTTTCCATTAAAAACAAAAAGCCAAAAAAACAGAAACCCACAATTACTCGAGCAGAGTCAACAAAATATTTTTAAAAATCCACATATACATTTTAAACCAGCATGCTTAAGATCAACGATATTAGAATATGGTGATGATCACCACCATTTCAGTATTAGATTTTTCGCATGCAATATATGCATAGTTAAACAGTTAGTAAACATGTACAAGTGTAACACAAATAATGTAACCACAGTACTGCTGTGGATTGTGTCTATCACCATATTCACTATGCCAGTCATAACATTTGCTAACAAGAAAAAGACTAGTTGGTTTTTATTAATAGCATTAATTATACAAACACTTAGCAGTTTTTCTTCTCTTTTGATAGACGTGGGCTCTGAATCATGCTTTTTATTTGTACTAGGTGGTTGTGAAAGATTCCAACAACAAGGCACTCCAGACCCATTTACCAGAAGTTTTGTCAGCACTAAAATAAGATCAGTCACTAAAAATAAAATGAAAAATGTCAGGCCATGGGCAACCACCCAAATGCAGAAAGCCAGATTAGCCAGCCTACGGGATACTGGATCTATATACGTTTGAGTCAAGTGAAGACATATAAAGAGAAGAATAACTGTCAGCAAAAACAAGCATATTACTTCAATCCAGTCTTTGACTAAGGTTCTCTTCTTCAATACATATAACCCTACTTGCACACTGGCCATATAGATGGCTAGGTATCCAAAGAGAGAAAACACCCCCTCTCTGTTAGCATTCAAAAATCCAACTCGTGAATCTCTGCCATCGCTTCCATAAAAAACAAACATCTTCAGAGGCGTAACATCAAGAATAAACTGGTAAAATACAGCAAGAATCACAGCAACAATCCCCGATTTCTGTGCTGGCACTAACGATAAAAGCAACGAGGCTGCAATCCTCACAAATGCTAGAGTGAAAAAAAAATTCCAGTGCACCCCATACTCTGATAAATGCTCATGATAATCTACAGCTTTAACGCTGACCAGTCGTCCCAGGCCCAGAAAAACTAATGGCCACACAGCTAAGGACTGCCTTGCCAAATAGGAGAATTTGGCTTGCACTGCACCGGATTTTTGCCTCACTTCAGGACAAACCAGAGCGTTCCCAAAAATAAAAGCTCCCACACCAAAATCCATCACTCCCGTGCCATAGGTCTCGGTTTTAGCGTACCGCCTGGGGTACTGTGGGAAATCCACTGCCAAAATACTGATGGCAGTTAGCAGGTTGACGTACACGCGGAACACGGTTATGGAGGGAACGTATTCTGGTTCTAGGCTCGTCTTCAGAAACTCGCTGATGATCTGTCTACAAGGTGCGCCGACGTACCGATTTCTCCCGTGGTATATTTTAGAAAACAATCCTGCACAGATAAGAGCAATGGCAACCGGGACAAAAGGGAGGACAGGGGAAAGAACTGTACAGGAAAGCACAAGAGGAGCTACTAGCACAGTCAAGTCTAGCAGGAGTAGATATTTCCTTGAGCCTAATGGTCTTCCATAGTGCTGGTGATATAAAACCAACAGCAGTCCTCTGCAAGCCACACACAACGGCGCTAGAGTTAATCCTACTGAAATTTCTTGCAGAGTAGTTCCATTTAAGTTACTGATGAAGGCTTCTTTCTGCAGCTTTTGTGACATCCTTCTTCTGGAAATAAAAACTAGAATCAGTTTTGTAGAAGGCGGCGTTTTTCATTGTAGTTCAGCCTCTGCATCGTGTTATACATTTTGAAACATAAGATACAACTGTTACAAACCCATAATAAAACAACAATTAAATGTGAATCACAGATCAACTCTCCCCACTGCAACTCTGAACAGGTATTAAAAAAAAAAAAAAAAAAGTGTTGCGGTGCCATGGGACATATTTTTGCTATCTTGTTAAATTCTTAAATATTCTACAGCAGAGATTAAAAATGATAGACAACCAGGATCCCAGCAAGCTCTTATGGTTTTGCTTTACTTGACTCATGGTGTTCAAGTTAAGCACGTGTGGACATTTGGATATATCAGCATGGCAACTGTTGTTGCGTGATACCGAGGCAGTGAAAGGCAGTATTTTAAAACACAATCTTTGTCACTGCAAAATATGCTTTCCTTTAAGATAGCAGATATATGTAAATACTTCCATACTATTTACTGTTTTATGGGGGGGAAATAGTTGTATTAAACCTACTGCAACAGCAGTTAAAAGGGGCAAAAAAGGGTGGTCCACAGAGATTAAATTAACCATTTCAGCCTAGGTAGCAGGATCTACTTGTGCAAACTGTCCACATGGATGCTGCGATATGCTACCCCAGAACAACTTGTAGAACTGAGGCCACCATTACAGAAGCCCCCCAGCATTTGCACTTGCTCGACAGCCTCAACAACGATGAGCACAATAGAAATAGCGATCAAAATCTCCTCTCTCAGTACGGTTGGCCCTGCTGAAGATCTTGAAAGCTAGTCTGGTAGGCAGCTCGCTGTGACGATGTGAAACACCTTTCAGCAGGGCCTACGCTGAACATTAGGTGCGCTGGTGGAAGTCAGCACTGCTGCAGTCCTTGTTGCACCGCAGAACACATGGGTTACAACTAATCCCCACCACCTCTAACAATAATACCGCTCGCAATGGTAAATGGTAACTTGGAAAGCTTACCAACTCCAGAAGCCACTTATGGAGAATAATTCCCACGTGCACGAACTCAGGTTAGCAGATAAAAGCTAGCGAACATCTAAGAAAAATGGAATTTAAGGCAGCAAGTCAAAGGGGGTTGCTTTAAGTTTCCATTCATACAGCGATAAAAAGATTCAAGCATCCTCATCACAAATACAATCTTGGGGGATACAGACACGCACGGCAGCTGCTGCCCTAAAAGTTCTTGGGACTTTCTTCTTCTTCTTCTTTTTTTTTTTTAAAAAAAAAGAAGAGAAAGTATGGGTGTTATTTTCTCAACCAAGGACATTTCTCCAGCAAATCCTACACTTGACGATTCCCAGGAAAACAAAGTACATTCGTGTGAAGTGCTAGCTGGATCTCCTTCCTGCTCTCTGGGGGGACTACTCATGCATTGTATATCTCCAGAGGCCTTAATTCCCTTGATGCTTAAAAAGTCTCCCAAGCCTTTCTGCTGACAAAAGCAAAACAGGCAGAGCCCCCCCAAATTCACCTCCTCCCGGCGCTGTAGGGAGTGCAGAGGAGGAGATGGGCTGCAAGGGACTAGTCCGACCCCCTAGGCAGCATCCTAAATACCAGCCCGCCACCCAAAGCATCCCTATGCCTCTCTGTAACCCATCAGCTAATGATTAGATGCTCTCCTAGACAGATTTTTAGGCACTGGGCCTCTCTCCCCAGCCCAGCAATAGCCCCTTGGCTGCAGCAGGTGCTGTCACAGGACGGGGCCATGCTCCCACGAAGCCCAGGACCCCGTCCCCGGAGCGGGGTGCTGCACCTGTGCGGAGCCGGAGCATCCCCGCGCGCGGGCCCGGCCTTGCACCGCCTCCTGCTTCCTGCGGAGCAGGGAAGTCACCCCGAGCTCGGTTTCCTTCCGCACATTTTCACCAGCCTGCTTTCCCTTCGCCTGATTCAACACACGCCCTTGCAAAGGCTGCGCCCCCCTGCCCTGCCCTGCCCCGTCCCCGAGAGCAGCCACGTGTGTCCGCCTCTCCCGATTCAAACTGCAGCCCCCGCCCTGGCTCCTCCTCCTCCCCTTCCCCTTCCCAGCTGTCCTCCCTGCTCCGGGCACGGCTTTGCATCGGGTGAGTCCGGGTTTCTCCTCCTCCTCTTTCCCCCCGGCCCCTGCTCTGGGCTGGTGCAACTCCCCTGGAGCCAGGCAGCCCCTCCCCAGCCCCTTCTCGCTGCACTTTTTGGGATGAGGAAGGGAAGGGTGAGCCTTTGAGTGGCTCAGCCCTCTTTGTGCCACCCCATCGCTGCTGCCTCCTAATGGGAATGACTTTTAGCTTGTGATCCTGCCTGCAAGGAGTGTCCAGACCTGTGGCTGTGTGTAGATGGGCCTCGCAGAAGGGCTGGTTTTGTCCTTCAGGGTTTGGCAACAAATCTGGATTTGATCCGTCTTCCAGCTGGGCTGATTTGAGAAGTCCCCTTTCCTTTATGGAAAACCTAGTGCTGCCTGGGGAAGGTGCTTTCAAAGCCCGCACCGTCATTATGAGAGAGCGGAGATCGTTTCGGTCAAGGTCAAGCTTTGCGCAGGTCTTTTCCAACACACACATGGGAGAAGGCTAATTTTTTTTAAATAAATTAAAGCTACGTCAGTGGCTTTCGAGGAAAGGGGACGAGTAACTTTGAACTCAACGGAAAAGAGGATGGAGGCTATCCAGTTATTTTTTTTTATTGCCCATTTCCTCTGTAGTGCCTGCAGCCGAGTCCAGAAAGAAAGGCTATGGTTTGGGTTTTGCGCCCGGATGGAAGTGTGGGTAAAGCACAGAGTTGGACCTGTTTCTGTTTTTGTCACAGACTTGCTATGACCTTGGGCAGTCTGTTTGATATCTGTAAACTGGAGCCAATCTCTCTCTCTCTCTCTCTCTGCTTGACAGGTGACGTCTTAAATCTGTAGCTTGTAGGTTTTTAACAGTGCCAGTGGGAAATAATACCTGCAAAAATTCAGGTGTAGTCAAAACTTAGACGTGATGGCTAAAGTATTCAGAACTCCTGGTAGAGGCAGTATCTTGTATTAATGCAACTAAATAGCTGCAAATTTTTTTTTCTTTATTTGCAAGCTTTCAGGCTCACGCGCCCTTCTTCAGGCAAAGGAGAATGCACAGATTGTAACATTTCTCCCAGGTAGAAATGACGTTTCATATTGCTCAGGAGAATAGAAAGATGCAATCGGTTTGATGGCTAAAGCATGTCTCTTAGACGTGCACGTGCGTGGGGCTCTTCATCGCCCCAGCCACCTTTGCTGTGCTGACAAAAGCACCAGGATAGATGCAGTTGCAATCAAAAAAACTCTGTTATTCCATATTTTGTTTGGAAAACTGGTTTAAAACTGTACTGATACAGTGGAAACCATATCCACTAGGGGAGTTTATCCTCTTAAGTGTAGATGAGCCTTACTGGCATTGGTATAAATTTCATATTAACCAATGTCATGCTGTGCACTGCTTACTGTTTAAAGGATGACTGTTCACCCTTCTGTAACGTCAAGGGAGATGGATATAAGACTGTAAAGAGAGAAACTACTTCCAGTTACGAGAGCTGATTATTTTTAGAATAAGAATGAAAAAAAATAGAACCGGACGCTAACACCATTCAAGCAAATGGCAGCACTCTCGCCGACCTAAGGAAGCAGGATACAGCCAGGACTGAGCAAGTTTTACCTGTAATATGCAACTTCCATGAGTTACACCCTATCCAGAAATGCAGCTATCACTGATGCTGCCAGACCCACAACATTAACCATCTGGGCTAACAGCATGAAAAGAGATCAACCGCATTTATGTTGGAAATTCCTTTCAATCAAAACATTATTTAAACAAAAAGCAGCAAAGCGACTTTAATTTCGCAATAAAGAGATGCTCAGCATTCTTTGCTAAACAGCCTGTATCTAAAATATTTTGTTTTCTGTAGTAAGTACCAAGGAGTATCAGGAGATTCGTGTCGGTACAAGTACTACCCTTGTTTCTGAATGTGCTTGCAAAGACAGCAAAACCGTTCATTTAAATGGAAGTAGAATATAACCCCTAGTAATTTACCATCTTTGCTACTGCCTTAATTACATAGAGCAGAATCCAGCTATTTACCCAGCTTTCAGAGACCAGTGCACAGAACGGATGTCACACTGAAACGTAGTTCTCTCAATACAGGGCATTTTGGGAGCTGGCATAATAGTACGCAGCTGGCAGGCCCACGTTTGAAGATGGCTGAGAACTGCAGGAACTCCAATAACTTCCTGTTCGCTAGCATGTTTGGAAGGAGAGGATTTAAGCTGAGACCTGGTTTAATATAGAAATGGACATGGCCGTACACTGTTCTGGTCATGCAGCTAGATAAAATGCGTTTCAAGTCACCAAACGGTAGCGGCAGACCAACCATTAGTGCAGACATAGAGTTTGGAGCATCAGCCCAAGCTGCTGGGGTTGGGGCGGCCCCTCCTTGTTAGATATAGAGATGAGATCTGACGTTGATCGGCAATGCAGCGAAGGCCCAAACTGATTCCTGATATTCCAGAGGTGAAACTTTATCCGAGTTTGGGGAAAGTTGCATAGAACTACACGGTGCACATTGTTCCTCTGAAACAACCAAGGTGTGTGTCTGTGTGTTTTTTCTTTTCCTTAGGCCCTCCAATGAAATACCATTGACTATTTCACCTTCAACAAAATACCATCGACTAAAGGCTGTACCGACGCCTATCCAGTATTCCTGGTTATAGAGCTTTACACACTTTGCAACTGAGAAATATGCCCAAGCAGGTAAAAATCAAAGCCAAAATTGTTTATATGGATTAATTGCATTTTGATGTCATGCAATCATGAGGGGCTTGGATTTGTTTGAGTGTAATTAGAGATAAATGACTGGAAAAAAAAATGTTTTCTTTCTCTACCCCAAGATGGTTGTGCAGTTGCTCCACAGGCTTGTCATTGCTATTAGGCAGTACTGGCCTGCTGGTCTTGTTCTGTGCAAGATTGTGATTTGTGTACCTAGGTTAGCTTTGTACATGACTGATAAAACAAGGCTAGACTACTGGTTTAGTTAGACCTGCACCAATACGTAAAACAGGTTGCAACTAGAGGTACAGGCAGGACGACAGTAAACCTTTGTCACTGGATTTTATACATCGTCCTTAAAGTTGATACTTTTTTTTTTTAATTGTATGAGTAAAAATGCACACTTTATTCATGGACCTGAAAGCAATCACGTTCTCCTCTAACTGTACACGTCACCGTATTAAGAATGAAAAGAGATCTAAGTGAATATCGGAAGCTTGAACTAATTGTAGAGGCCAAAAAAAAGCGGCCTGGTTTTCCAGAGCTCATTACAATCAGCTTTCAATGGAGCATGCAGCAACTCCACTACTATGAGCACGAAGCAGCAAACAAACAGTACGGCGCAGAGAGGGTGATGCATATTTTTCCAAAGATTGGGCAATTGGCAAGAAACTAGCATTTATTACCAAGGGAACAGTGTTTGGTTTTATATATAAAAATTCAGCATGCCTGTTCATGAAATCACTGGGATTCTCAATGTTCACGCGAGGCAGAATGAAAATTGTGGTTCTGACAACATTTTACTTGACAATAAGCAAGCTTTTTACCAGCGTGACTGTAACTGCACTGCTGGAAACAATCCACACATATGGCAAGTCAGGAAACAACAAGCACTCCAAGTCCGTGTGTCATATGTAAAGAATTATTATTCTCCACTTATTTTTTCAGAGCCATTTGCATGAACAGGGGTTTATAGAATGCAGTTTGCCCATTTGCCAATTGAACTCAGCAGCATTTGTATTTTATGCACTAATGAATTTTAGCAGCTTGTCATTGCAAACAAAATTTAACATTGTAATGTTTCAAAACTTAGTTAACTGGTACCTATAATTGTGGATCTCTGCTATGACATGTAAATTAGTGGAGTTATGCTAGAGCAGGGGTTCCCAAACTATACTACGTGTACTCGTGGGGGTACGCAAGACATCTCTGGGAGGGAATGTCGGAGAAATTGCCTAACGGCAGATTTCGTTTTCACTGTAAAAGTAATTGGAATTTAAGGGGTTAAAATAGCAAATGTATGCTGGTAGGGGGACGCGGGCAGCTGGTGGATCTGGAAGGGGGTACGCGACAAGAAAAAGTTTGGATCCTCTACCTCGAGGAAGAGAGGCGGTAGTTGTTGGACAGGAAGGGAACAGAAACCAGCAAGTGGAATACAAAAGGCAGCACTGCCCTTCTCCCCACCCCTCTGCAATACCCCCCCCTAAAAAAAAAAGCACCTGAAGCCTGTCTTTGCTGGCTGGGCTTTCCATGACGTGTGCATAATAAACAAGTGCCCTTCCAACTGGTGTTTTCAAGGACTCTGGAGCCCAGAGGCTAAGATTAAAGTTACACGGAGAGGGCCAATTCTAGTTTACTGTAAGCAAAACAAAGTGTTAAAACCTCTCCATTCATCTCCCCAGGTAGGTGCATGCATGCACAAACACACATGCTTTGCAAAACCACACTCATGGATCATAATCTCCGGCTCCAGAAATGCAAGTCCCTACCAGGTAATCTAAATCTGGGGCCCTCCATCAGCCTGAGCTGTCAAATGTACTGGCACAGTCTTTGCCTCAGCCATTAGGGCCCCCAGAACCCATCTCCTCTGCCTCTCCCAGCTACCATGTCGAGTGTGTGACATTTAGAGGATTTGACGTCTTTGGGTCAAGGACTGTTGTGCAACTAGATCTGTACTTAAAGATACTCAAAGTTGCCAAAACTGGGAACTGTTCTTCTCAAGACACATTGATTCCAGGTGTCAGTGTCTTGCAGTAAGAACTACGAGGGATAAATTCAGCCTCTAAAAGACGTCTGTAGTTTACCGTCTCTCATACATCAAACCACACGCCTGCTCAAATATGTCTGCATACTGCAGCATGGCTTTCTACTAGGTACAGATTTTTTTAACCTCACTTGGCACTGGACAAGCCAGTCACACTCAAATGTACTGAATTAAGATTTTTGCTAGGGCTGAACTTAAGTTTGCTGCATCTGGGACAATAACCAGTAACTGCAAGGTAGAAGTCCAGTCCTGCATTCAGTCGTTCACCAGTGTTTTATCTTTTATCTGTGCTTTCCAGATAAATGGCCAAAAAAAAGGTTCTGTCATCCCAAATGATCTCAGTGATTCCTTTGAAGAAGTTAAAGCTTTTCTGAGTGACGAAGATACACTACATCTCTTTGATGACCTTACCAAAGTTAATCCTGTGACCACCACAACAGGTAAGTACATAGAGCCAGAGGCACCTTTTGTAGTGTTGCTTCCTTTTATATGCCAAATTTCCCCAATAACTGTCAACATAATGCGGTCAGCTATTGTGATCACATTAATACTATGGGGAAATTACAGTTCAGGATCCAAAGCCTATTAAAGTCAATGGAAGGATTCCTACTGACTTTGGATCAGTCCTTAAAACTTGGTTTCATCAATATCCTTCAGCCTCTCATGGTGTTAGCAAGCAAGAACTAGGAACTAAATGGAGAACTTACAACCTGAGCCATTGGTTCAAGGGCATCTGAGCTCGGTAGTACTTGGAAGCTACTGTGGTCTCCTTGGAAAAAAAACTGTGGCCTCAGCCCAGTTTGTGCGCACAGATTTCCTTATCTCAAGGCACCACACAAACTACAGAGTGTCCTTGCCACACCACTCTTAGTAGAAAAGCCAAGTATTAAACTCAAACTTGGAAACAAAGTTTCTCCCGTAACTGTAGAGCTGGACTAC